TCTTACACTCTGTTCTATGTCACCATCATAGCTTTATGTCATACTCACCTACTCTTAAACCCGGATCGATGTCACCATCATCTGAAAATCAATTATCATATAAACAATTAATAGAAATACTACCTAAGCATGTATTTAAATGTCTAATTTGTCAATAATAATAACAATGAATAATAATTCGAGGTTCTTATATACTGCTTTATCACAGCCTAGTTTGTAGGTCGTCTCAAAGCGGTTCACAAATCATTATCCGTGGTTATAGGACCTTTGCAACCAGCCAATATCTTCCCCATCTCCCCCGGGAGCATACAACCGGTGCTGCCATTTCGGCGCTCACAGCTATCATTCTACAAATCTATCACTGTCCAACCACGTACTCATTTACAGCTGAGTAGACTGGAATCAGATAAGTAAAGTATCTTGCTCAAAGATACAACACAATGCCGTGCCTCGAACCTGCAACATTTCCGTTACGAGCCCGGCGTCCTACCACTAGACTGCCGTGCCTCCTATAGCCCGGCGTCCTACCATTAGACTACCGTGCCTCCGATGAGAGAACAAACAAAGTGAATATTTTACTGCAAAATGTGACGATTTTGACCTTTATAACTCATCAGAGGTAATGAATGTAAAAAAAAAAAAGAAATAAAAATATACACAGACATCTTTAAATGTTTCGAAACAATACTTTATAGGAATAGCACCATTAACCCTATAATTACTTGGTTAAATTTTTTGAAACCCTTTCGTTATTATAGTATTTTGTTCAATAACAACAATCCCTGGTGTGTCAATCAAATTATAACCAAAGAGTAGGATTATTTTAAAATATTAACAAAACATGAAATAAAAAAGTGGCATGACATTTTGCCGAGTTCTAAACTTTAAAAAAATGTTGTTGTTGATTATATTTTGTTATTTCATCTTTATAATTTCTCATACAATCTTCCGCAATGTATGGTTTCTTTTCCAGAAATGATTTATCTAAGCCATACCCATGTATGGTTTCTTTTCCAGAAATGATTTATCAAAGCTATACCCATGCATGGTTTCTTTTCCAGAAATGGTTTATCAAAGTTATACCCATGTATGGTTTCTTTTCCAGAAATAGTTTATCAAAGCTATACCCATTCATGGTTTCTTTTCCAGAAATGGTTTATCAAAGCTATACCCAT